TACTGCCTTGGTATGCCAGCCTGGCCGCTGAACATAGGGGCTGCCTTTGGTGACTTTGAATGGTGGCTATTTGGTTGGCTGGCTTTATGGTTATCTACACTTGATTCCAGCTTCTCTTTCCCATATGATTTCCCCTGAAGCAGTCCCTGAATGAGATATTCTCTTCTTAGTAGATGTATTTTCCCTTTTAAGACAATTTCAGCCTAAAAGCCTTGTTAATAGAAACCAAATGTGAGCTCAGGCCTTCCAGTAAATCTTAATAGATGAGATACTGCACTGAAACGAAGCAGCCCACAGTGGAAAGGGTTGCCTGACGAGGAAGGCGGTGTCATGATTCAGCAGGCCACATAATGAATTCTGGTTAGTATCTGCACTTTTGGTCAAGTCTGAGTGGAGGCTGTCCATTGAGCAGCTCTGTATTCCTAAGCCTCTCCAGTTCACTCATTGTTCTCCCCAGCCCCCACTGTTTACCCAGGAGGCACTTGGGCTTTGGGATTTGTTTTGTTTTGTTGAGAAGTTCCTGGAACACCATGAGAGGTATGGGAAAGCTGAAAAGTAGGTGACAAGGCTCTGGGGATGAGAACTGGCAAACAGCACACAGATTGCAGCTGACACGAGCTCAGCATGGGAAGTACATTAAAAACTGACTTAACATCTGCTTAGCTCTCAAAATCCTTGGCCTAATGTTTTCCAGCGCTGGCAATGCCTACAGGCAACAGCCAGGGAGAACCAGGTGGTCACAAGAAATCACCAGCATGAGTGGATGTGTTCACCTGCTCCCATCTAGTCTTCGGTCAGGTCTCCACTGCCTCCTCTATATAACTTTGCTAACCATTGACATGAGTGTGTACTGCAGCTAAGAAGGAAGGATCTAGAAATCGGAGTTGGGGGCGGGGGAGGTTTAGTCACTAGTTGCAGTGTAGAACCAAGCCTTGCCTTTCTCTTCTGGATTCCTTGAAGTGTTCATTGGAAGTGACATACTCTGTATCTGTATGAACTCTTTGGACCAGCCTAGGCTATGACTTTGAGTCCCTTTGCCCCCACCTCCATCCTGACCATTGGCAGGAAGGGCATGAGGAAGTTCATGGCCTGCTGGGAGGCAGATCTCAATGGGCTGTGTGCTGCGTGTGAGGGTTTCTTTGGAAATTGTCTCAAGGCACTTGAGACTTGAGCACGTAGGACAATATATTATTGCAGAGGCTTATTTTAAACAGAGGAAAATGACTGGCAAAGAAGCTGTAGTACATTTGCCACAGAGCTTGCCTTTCTGTAACTGAAAACCACGGGGCATACATGTCAGACCTGTTGCCACCTTACCTTTTCCGTACATGTCCCTGCCATGTTGTGACATTGACAAAGAGAAAGGGTAGGATTGACTTGGGTCATGTTTTAGGAGGGATGCAGCCCATTGTGGCTGGAATGTTAAAACAGCAAGTCACATAGTAACCTCAGTCCGGAAACAGAGTGATACATTCGACAAGGGTCTTCCTCCTCTGTTAAAGCCTCCATGGAAACATCCTCCCAGACATACCCACAACTGTCTCCTATGTAATTCCAAATCTAGTCAAGTGGACCATGAAGGTGAACCATCATAGACCTTATTTCTTTACCACTGTCAGGCAGTGTTTTCTTTCAGTCAGGTAGTTAAAAAACCCAAATCAGTGCCGGGTGTTGGTGACGCACACTTTTAATCCCAGCACTGGGAAGAAGAGGCAGGCAGATCTCTGTGGGTTCAAGGCCAGCCTGGTCTACAGAGCAAGTTCCAGGACAACCTCCAAAGCTACAGAAAAACCCTGTCTGTCTTGAAAAAAACCAAAAGAAAAAAAGAAAGAAACAAACAAACAAAAAAAACGAATCAAGTGCTTCTCTGCACACTGGCTTCCAAAGAATGTGGATATCAATGTATACTGCTTGTCACAAAAGACAGAAACAAATCCAGGCTCCTGTTCCTGGCCTGTGGTTGAATTGTCCTCAACTCACCAACTGTTCAGGATCTTGTCTCCTCCCAGCTGCTTCTATAAGTTTTACTTCTATTCAGTTGTCATATTGTAGAACATTTGTTTCTTTGGTTGTGTTTTTGGTTTTGTTTTGTTTGTAGTGGGCCAAGATGACTGGGCCAGTAAAGGTACTTGCTGCCAAGCTTGACAACCTGTTTGATCCCCAGGAACCCACATAGTAGAGGTAGACAACTGATTCTCATAGGTTGACCTCTGACCACCATACCTATGCCTCATAAATAAATATATTAAAATTTTTCAATAATAAAATGAGTTAATTCAGTGAACATGGTGGCACATAACTGTAATCCCTACTTAGGAAGGTGGAGAGAGGGCAGCCTGAGCTACATAGAGAGTTGTAGGTCAGTCTAAGGGTACAATGTGAGACCTTTTTCAAAAATAAAAGGTTAACTCCATTTGGAAAGATCCAATCCAATAGGGTTTGTGTTGAGCACACTGCTAAATAGCATGCCACACATACTTTAGGCAGGTAGAGGGTCTTGAGATATGGGACAGAAAGGCAGAAGATAGAGTTGGCTCTGGGTGTTTGTTACCTCTATGACGTTGGGCAAGCTTCTTCTCTGAGCTCACTTTATGAAGACTTGTACTTTTTGAATTGTTTTCCCTGGTGTCTTTACAATAGGATCCTACCCTTCCTCCAGAAACACCAACTTTACCTATAGAACTTGAGCTTTTGATTGGTTGGAGCTAGTGACTGTTGCTGAGCCTAGAATGCACAGCCCTTGACTGTGGCTTTAATAGTGAGCTCCCATATGAGTGGTGCCACCACCCCTCCCTAACTGGATCTCAGTCACCTCTGGAGTCACCTGAAGGTGGCCCCACTGTTTCTCCAGATTGCTGTAGGACTTTGAGAAAGCATAAAGAATCACACTGATCCTCAATTTCTTAACCAAAGGCAGGGGCCTTGACCTGCTTGCTGTGTGGCCCAGGGCTCTGGGACCCTCTCCTGGCAGATGGCCAAGAAAGAACAAAATGACCTCAGAGGAGTTTCTTCCTATCTCCAGAAGATTTTGCCCCAGATTTCTTCGTGTTCCAGAAAGTCTAAGGAAAGCTAAAGCAATCCCAGGAAAAGAACAAAGGGCCTCCTTATGGAAGCTCAAGCCCTGGCTCTAGCTTGCCCACATTCTGCCTCTGGGCCTATTGCTGTTCTCTGTGAACTGGAGGAGTGCAGGTATGCTAGGGAGGAAGAGCCCCCAGACTTTTTCTCAGAGCCACAGAGAAGCAGTCCTGCCCTGTGTGGCCCACCCCTCAAATGGAAGGAAGGAGAGATGTTGAAACAGGATTGAAAGGCCAAAAAGATTGGCTTTCCATTTCTGCCATGTAAGCCAGCGTTCTTCCACGTCAGACAGTTGGCATCAAGATGAAGAATTTACAAGTTCATCTTCAAAGTCACACTGTGGGTGTGAGATAGAGAGAGTTCTTCATAACAACCTTCAGGCCATTCCTTCCTTCCCAAGTCACTTCAACAAAGCAGAACACTGCATTATGGCATCAGTGCTGTGCACTGAGCAGGGATTCCTTGGGAAGCCAGCTGTGCTGCCTCCCCTATTTTGTCAAGGTTCTAGATGAAGACCCACCTGGTACTCAAGGGGCCATATTTCAAGAGTTCTTTGAAGTGCCACCTCCCCCAACTAGAATAACAGGAAAAGCTATGCTTCAGGCATAAACAATCCACAGGGGTCCCCATGCTTGGGTCAAGCACTGTGTTTATTTCTGCAAGTATTTCTCAAGCACTGTGTCAGATGAGATAGAAGTTAACAGAGCTCTGCCTCAGGCTCGGACCATTGTAGCAACACTGACAAGTCTTCCTGCCATCCCAGTTCCTGGCACTTCTTTAGGAAAAATAATAGCATGGCCTATGTCTACAGACTTGCTCATTTCCTTTCCCTATCCACCTTCCATCCCACCCCTTTTTTTGTCTTTTATTAAATACTATTCATTTCCCCTGAGGAAAAAAGATTTCTTTGTATCTTAGTGATAGGAGTTTTATTATTTGTGCATCTGCCTAGGGTAAAGGTTTAATTCAGCCTTTCTCTGCTAATCTACTCCTCAGGCGCAGAGCTGGCATCTGCCCCACTCAACTCAGAACCTGCTGCCAACATGTGTTGGGTATCCCACTCACTCTTTGAGTTCATCAGTAAGAACTTAAGGCTGTGGCTATTGGTGCCTCATATGTCTCATCTCTATTTCTCTGGGTCTGTGTGTCTACAGAAGTAGAAAGTGCCAATACAGGACTGCCCTTACGTGGCACACAGATGTGGCAGAGAAGCAATGAGTTACTCCATGGGAAAGCTACTGCTGCCTCATCTATCAGAGGTGCCACCATCAGCACCTAAGTGCTTGCTAGTCCTTGTTTCTAATAGAGACTGAGTAGGCCTCAGGCCAGTGAGTTCAGTCAGCAGTCACTGGCTAGAATGTGAGAACACTGTTCCATCTGGCTTTCATAGTTACTGTTAATTATCATACCAAGTTGATGCCCCACTCACTAATAGCAATAGAGAATATGTTTTGTGTGATTGTGTGTGTGTGTGTGTGTGTGTGTGTGTGTGTGTGTGAGAGAGAGAGAATGTTTGGAGACTTAAAGCCAACTTTGGATGTTCCTTAGGCACCATCCCCCTTGTTTTTTGTGACAAGATCTCTTGCTGTTCTGGAGCTCACCAATTGGGCTAGGCTTTCTGGCCAGTAAGCACCAAAGATCTTCCCACATACTATACATGGCCTCTGGGGATTGAACTTGGGCCTTGATGCCTGTGCAGTAAGCACTTTATCAACAAAGCCATCTCCCCACCAGAAAATGTATGTTTTGATATATCTATGCATGTTCAATGTACATAGAACCCAGACAGAAGCTATACTAAGGCAGTGACTAGAGTCCTGACTTCACAGAGGAGAAACACAGGCTGACCTTGAGGACTCCCCCTCCAAAAGGTCTTTAGGAAGAAGAATCTGCCAATGGCCATTTTTCTTCTTTTTCCATTCCAGGCATGGATCCTGAAAAACTAAAGCGAATCCAGCTCCCAGTACCAAGTGCAGCCGAGAAAACCACCTACAACCATCTGCTGGCTGAGAGACTCATCAGAATCATGAACAATGCTGCCCAACCAGGTACTCCTATCTTAGGGATATTGGATCCCTAGCCAGAGACTATAAGCCCTAGGTTCTGGATCTGGAGAAATCTCAGCCCTTTCTTTTGCTCCTAGCCACCAGCATTTGCCTTCTATTGGAACCAATACTTTTATCTCTGGGGCTGTTCTTACCCTTGGTTGTAGTCACCTCTCTCTTTTCTCCCTTTATATCAGCCTTCCTTGTGCTTCTTTTGTTATGGCTGGGACCCTCCTCTCTGGGAAGCTGAAGGCCATACTGTGGGAATGAACTAGGCTGAGAATCTGAGCGAGGGCAACAGATTTGAAGACTTGGGTGAAGGTACACCTTGTGCCCAATGTCTCTAGTGGTTTGACCCAGCACCCATCTGTAGCCAAAATACTAAGGCAATGATAACAGTGGAAGGAAGCTCTAGGAAAGGCTTTCCCAGCTGGGGTAATTTTTCTTCCAGAATATATGTGACGATGACTGACGACATTTTGAACTGAATGACTAAGAATGTTCCTGGCCTCTAATGGGTAAAAGCCTAGGACACTGTTAAACATCTCAGGTTGCACAGGACTTCTACGGCACCGAGTTATTTGGCCTGTAATGTCAAAAGTTGCATGACAAATCCTCTGTAGAGACAGGAGAAAGGTCACAAGAATGAATGAATGCATGGGAGACAACCTGGACTCCTGCTTACCCAAAGGGGAATAGTATGGTCAGAGCAACTTGGTATGGTCAACCAGAGTTGATCAAGCAGTGACTGGAGCAGTGTGTGGCTATGCTAGCAAATGGGAGAAGGACCTGGAAAGCCAGGTCAGTGGCCTTAGGGTGACAACAGCTATCTGCAGTTATTCACAGAATAGATGCTTTCTGATTGCATCCTACATATGGCTAAGAGCCACCCACAGCTGCTGGTCTTCAAAGTTCCAGAAGTTGTGGACTGTGGAGATTGGGGGGGGGGGGGCAGCGCACAGGGTCTTATGCTCTGAGAAGAGATCAGGACAAGGCCAGCACTGGGGACCAACATGCATGGTCTGTAAAGGTTTAGATGAAGAGAGAGAGGGGGGTGTCATGGATTGAGCCCTTGAGACATTGCTCATACGTAGAGATGGCAAAGTAGAAGAGACAGCCCAGGACCCTGAGACAGGAGAAAAGGGACAGAGACTGTATGACTCAAGACAATGGGTACTCTGTGGGGTCAGTTATTGCTGAGAGCTCCATTTAAAGGAGGCAGAACTTTTTCATGGGGCTGGGGTTAGGGGCAAGCTTTGCAGGGGACAGTGGGAGCCACGTGGATCAGGTCATTGAGGGAGCTGTGCTGTAGCCAAGGACAGGGTCAACTCTGGCTAGAACTTGGGAAGACAGGAGAATACTGGCCAGCAGAAGGAATAAAACTACTCTGGATAGGCACATAGACCTCAGAGTGGAGAGGGAATGGAAAATCTGGAGTGGATGGGGGTGGGGCTGCATATGTGAACAGGGACCAACCTTCCCTGGGCTTTTATCATGCTAAGTAAAACTTGCTTTGCATGTATATAACTAAGCACAAATGTTTCTTCTCATCTATTTCAACCTCACCTACAGGGCATTAGCAAAAGGACTGGTGTCTGGGGTATGTCCCTGGGGTATCCCTGCTTGAGCTCTAGTGTCTTAGACCTCAGGGACAAGGCCCATAGACTCTCTGCTCCCTCATTCTACTTCTACACCTCCACCTTTCCTTAGCAATAAAGTGCAAAGACCCATGGGACAGTTTGCTCAACAGTAGTTGGCCTTATGTTGGACAACCGGTGTCTTCTGTAGGAGGAAAGAGATGGCTTCCAGTGCAAGTAGTGAAAGTAGCATAGAGAAAACATTGAAATCCTGGCCTCAGCTGTGCCTGAAGCTAGTACCTCCTCTTCCCCCATTACCCTAGCAGATTTTTGTAAGTCAGCTGTTGTGTTTGTATGTGCTTATCTGTCAGTTTCTGCTTATATAGTTTAAGCTAGTCTGAGTTGAGTTTCTGTTAACTGTGACCAAGTTGTGATGAGCTTCATGCTGGGCTAGCCTGCTAGTATCCAGGCTTAGAGCCTGATGCTGTATGAATACACCCAGTGTGCTCAAGCTATGTGGGAGGGACACTTTAGGAAGACTAACAAGGGAAGAGAGGTGGCTAGTGCTGGTTATCATACCCATCCATTCAGTCCCCCACCAGTGTTCCTGTCCCTGCCACACCCCAGCACGTAGAAAGCCTATGCCCAGCATTTCTGGCACACTGTAAAATTGAGCCTCACTGACTCTACTCGGCCCATTTGCCTGTTGCCACCTGATCCGTTTGAGCAGGGGTTGGAGCACCTAGGGCACACAAGCTTGGATGGTAAATGAAAACATGAAATAAAAGGAAGAGGTCTTTTATTTCTTGACTACTCCTAAAGCACAGAGAAGATTTTTATTATAGATATAAGGGAGAAAGCAGCAGAGGGAAGGTCCAGGCTGAACATGGCCAGCAGACTAAACCAGACCATGAGAAGAGAGAAGGGGAGGGAGAGCAAGAGAAGAGCTGCTGACCAAGAGAGGTGGCCTGAGCCAAGAAACCAGCTTAGCCCAAATGTTTGAGTTGTATAGGGATTGGGCTGGGGGCTGGGAAGTGGAAGCCCCACCCCTGGGAGGGAGAGGTTTAGCTAGGGGATGGGGTGAGGAGTGCTGAGTGAGACTTGTTCTCGGTTTGAGACCTATCAGGTGGTATGCTTATTCTAGTAAGGAGAGAAGGCCCAACTCCACTGATTCACACGATCCAGAGTGGGCTGATGGTTCTGTACGCATACCTGGAGGGGGAAACATTCTGGACAGGCACAGCTGCAGCATAACCTCCGCCTTCTCCCACCTTCCCTTGCTCAGCTCATAAAGGGATTTCAGGGCAGATGGGAGCTGAAAGGTTTAACAGGGAGTGTTGACTTGTAACTTATTGGGAAGTAGGTTGACATGTGTAGCTCCCTCTGAGCTCCCCTTGACATGAGAGACCTTGGGCAAGACTGTCTGTCAGGTGATGATCCTCAAAGAAGGAGAGCAAGAACCTTGTGTCTGGGGTGGGCACTGGGCTCTGGGGTACTTGGCTGATCATGGTGTGTTTGCAGATGGCAGAATCAGGTTAGCCACACTGGAGCTGAGCTGCCTACTCCTGAAGCAGCAAGTACTGACCAGGTCTGGCTGCATCATCAAGGATGTGCATCTGGCCTGTCTAGAGGTGAGGCCATGCTTTCCCCCTTCCCTTTCTGTACTGTCCCTCAGCTCAGGAGGTCAATTAGGAAGCTGCTAGCACTGCCTGTTCCACAGCATCCCTGGCATAGCTCAGAGAAACTGGGCCTGAAACACCTTCAACCCCCCCACCCCCAAACACACCCCAAGGTCCTACTGTAGCCATGTGTTCAGAGGTGCCTCCCTCCATCCAGACCGCATTCTTGCATTGCAGTAGCTTCTTTTGGAATAACCTGCTTCTGGATTAGCTCCGGGCATTTTCAAATGTTTCTTTTGTGTGACAGAGTTTTTATACACGTAGAAACATATCCAACTACAGTCTTGGGTGGTGTGTGTGTGTGTGTGTGTGTGTGTGTCTGCTAAGATACACATTTGCTAGTTTCTCAGGATCTTTTATCGTTTTTTGTTCTTTATGATTTTTAGAAAATATAGGAAGTGCAGAAGTGAAAGAACGACTGAGGATTTACCCTCAGATTTGTCTGTTCTGACGCATTCCCACACATATATACACACACTGGTGAAAGAATTTTGTGTTTTATTAAAGGGAAGACATAGCTGTATTCAGTAACCTATTCCCCTGCTTAATTGAGTCACCCACCATTTCCCCTCCAATCTGCGTCCCTCACATCTCCCTTCTTTTTCAACAGGGTGCAAGAGAAGAGAGTGTCCACCTTGTACGGCATTTCTATAAGGTACTTGGCAGCACAGGTGGACAGTAGCATGGGGTATCTCTCATGGAGTATAGGATAGTGGTGTCTGGTCCTATATGTAATCTCCAGAGTGTGTGTGTGTGTGTGCACGCGTGCACATGCATGTATGTATAAGTGTGTGCATTGTAAGGTGTGCATACAGAGGTCAGAGGAAAACTTTGAGGAGTTAGTATATTTCTTCCAATGTGGAACCTGGGGATCGAACTTAGGTCATCAGGTTTTACTGCAGGCGCTTTTACCTGATGAGTCATTTTGTCAGCTCTTCAGTTATTTATTTATTTATTTATTTATTTATTTATTTGTTTACACTTGCACACATGCTCAATTCCATAATCTCCAGGGATGCAGCCTCTAAACTTTTGTGCTTTCTTATAAGAACAATAAATTTTTTGAGGACTTGCTACTAGTTTATGGCAGTTTGTTTATCAGTTACTTGTGGATTTACTATAATTTATGAGATGTATGCATATGACAAAGTCATAGGTTTGTGAGTTCTGTATCCTAATACATAGAAAACTACAATGAATCACCTGTGATTTTATTAATTATATATGTGTGTAATGTCTATAAACATGCATACTAAGAAGCCTCATGTAAGCATCTGAAGAATTATCTTGAGTTTAGTGAGATAACCTTTAGGATCTGAAGGATTTAGAGACATTTATCTTCAGGTTCCAACTGACTACTTCAAGATATCCAGTTTCAACAGTTTGTTTAGCTTGGACCTTACGGCATGTTTTAGTAGAGTAGGGCTGCTATGAGAAAACAGCAGCAGTCATTCCAGAAACTGGGAAGTCCGAGATTTAGGCAGATTAGGTGTGTAGTGAGCCTCTCCTCCCATCCTCACATGGAGGATGAGTTTGGGTGACTTGGATGTTCAGCTGTAATGGGATCATCCACATGGCTAGTCACCCCAGTCACCCTAGTGCTCATCTTTTGAACTCTAAGTCCTGGTCCTGCTTCCCCTTAACAAAGCTCAGACAGCTCCTGCTGGGGGAGGGGCAGCACTGCCTCACTTTCCTACTGCCCTCACTTAATGTGCTCCTGCTTTGCATGCCACCTGCTGCCATTGTTGTCAGCTTTTAATTGAGCTGAAGCCCAGTCCTGTAATCTAGAACTCTGCCTTGCTAGGACCAGGTCACCTGATCCAGCTGCAGTTGTAGACATGCCCAGACAAAGAGCCACCACTGTGGGCCACCACATTCTGGGAAGGAAATCCCAGCTGCCCTTCAGAGAACCACACTTGGCCTTTAAGCAAGAACATGCCCCTCTAGTCAGCCCAAAAGAAAGAAGAAACCTGGGGCTGCCCTAGTCCTCTTTGAAAGCTCTGAGGTTATAAACATGGAAAGGCACAGAGTAGCCATTTCCAGGAAGCTGCCTCCTGGTCCCAAACACAAGAAAAACTGCATTTTCTTTTTATTCCCATCCCAAAGAGACAGGGTGGTTCTGACTCTTCGTAAGACAGAACAGTGGCTGCACTGACACGTCCCAAGTGTCTGAGTGGCAGGCCCTGGGGCCGTGCTTTCTCTGTGTATTATTTTGCCTTCCCAGTGAGTGGCCTGACAGACATTGGCTCCTGCCTATTCTTTTCTGGCACATACACCTTTGCCATCCATTCTTACACTGAAACAGGAGGTACTGCATTTTGCCCAAGGTGAAATCCTGGGCATTCATTGCCACTAGCAACCAAACCTCAAGACTTTCCTCAAAAACAAATATAAGCGAGCAATATAATCTTAGTGCTGAGTATTGGTAGTTATGCCCTTCCCCCTAGGCATGGATGGGCCTCACATGTTTAACATGGTGACTTAACCAGCATTTCCCCTTTTCCAACCATTCTGGAGAAGTGAATGATGTTAAGCACTTGGAATATTAATCTTATCTATGTTTTAATTATGTGTTACTTTTTTTGTTGTTGTTGTACTCTAATTAACTGATATGACAGAAGAACTCTAGCTCAGTGTGCTTTCAAAGAGGAGGAAATTGTTGAGCAATGCAACTTGATACTCAGCCTTTCATCTGCGCATGTGTGTTCACGTTCACATGTGTATTTTACTTTCTGGTGATTCACAAGAACTTGTAATGAAAAACAGATGGCCTCAAAAGTCAAGTGGAGCATTTATAATGCTGTGTTTATTTGGGGTAAGAATAAGCTTCTCTCACTCCCTTCTGTTCTTTTCAGGGAGAAGAGATTTTTTTGGACATGTTTGAAGATGAGTACAGGAGCATGACAGTAAGTACAGGGCCAAATTTGAAAAGGGCTCTGTCCCATCTGGGGCTTTCTGATCAAGTGGCAAAGACTGGTAGTGAGGTGAATTTGATGGCCACTAAAACTTGAGATTATATTCATTCCTATGCCCCTGAAGTGCCTGCTTTTATTACTTCCTAACTGTGTTCCCTTGTGCAGGCTACTTACATTCTGAGCCTGGCTGGCTGTCATCTGTGCAGTGGGGCTCATACCTCTCAGTTGCTCTAGTCAGAAATACCCAGCAGCAGACCTCATGCTAAGCCCATGTGAAAACCTATAAATGTCCATTTCTCCTCTGCTTCCTGGTTTTTGCTTGTTTTACTCCTGTGTTTATGGCATGTCCCAAACAATGTTTAACATTCTCCAGAAATACTAAAGTGACACACCCTGCACTCTGCAACTGACATCAGCCCTCATCTGGTCCTTAGGAAATTGTCCTCTTCCCAGCTGAGGTGGGACAGGCCCTTAGTGCTGCTCCAATGCTGCAGGAACTAACAGCACCCTATCTGTAAGGTGGTTAGGGTCACCTGGTATCAGTCAAAGAGAGGTGTCCTTTTATTGAAGATTAACTCCTGCCAGGGTGACGGACGTGTTGTATCTACTAAATCTGACACAAAACATAGTTCTCACCTTAAGAGAGAGTTCATCTTAGAGCCAAATATAAGTGACTATGTCCAATACTCAGGTTGCCCCAAACATGTTTTGACAAGGAACTGGTTTCACGTAGTCAAACAAACAAAAAAAAATCATAAAACAATTTTCAAATACATCGTTGGGAACCTTAGGTGGCAGGTTACAGCAAAGTAGGAGGCCCAGTCTCTACTATAGGTCTCAGATGCTATCTAATGACATCCTTAGCTTTGAAGTTGGCAGAAGCTAGTTGTGTGTAAGATTAACACATCCCCAAAAGTTTCACCTGGTAGTCACAAAGATGTGTGATCAGACAGAGGTGAGCAAGGAACAGCTATTAAGGAAGCTGGAGCTTTATGGCTCTAAAGCTGCTACATTCCAGCTCTCTGTAGCCAAGAAGCTCTAAGCAATCTGCTTTATAGAATCTTCAACAATGAATTGCTCTTTTAAAAAAATGGAATTGCATTCACCCTACCCCGGGAACTTCAATCCAGAGTCTTTAGCTATGGAAAGAGCTATTGCCATTGTCTCCTTTGTGCAAATGAGGAGAATGGGAGTCAGAGAGGCTGAGTAATGCCCCTCAGTCTGCCCAGCCTGCTAGTGGCAGAGCCAGGCTTCCATAGCAGAGTGGTTCTCTCTGCTGCACCTCTAGAGCAGTAAGCATGGGTGGGGTGCCCCTGGAGTCCCACTTCTCCCTGGAGCACAGAGGACAGACTGTGACAATGACACTTTCTATTTTGTCTCTGCATCCCCAGAATCAGCCCTCAAGTAGCACTCAATAAATAGATGATAAGTGAGCTTTTCATGGACATAACTCACCAAAGCATGAAGTGATGGGAACATTTATAATGAACCTAAGTGTTTAAAGTGTCAGAAAGAAAAAGGCAAGTGGCACAGCTAAGTGGTTCCCTGGCTTCGAAGCCTGTCTCCAGGGCTCTGGCAGCAGGACCCTCACCACATCTTTGTCACTGCACCCCTGAGGCATCAGGAGAGCCTTTTCAAGGTCATACTTCCTTGTGACATATGGGTTACCATGACTGTGCCTGAAACTTATTGGCCCACACAGCCCCTGTCATGCTTAGGGTAGCTCAAATGTTTCCCCTTCAGATCATCAGTTCCAGGGGGAACCCTCCATGGGTATTCATCTTTCCCTCCTCTCATGCAGACTCCCCTTCCTGAGTGTGCTCCTCCACAGTACCCTTTTCAGCTTAGAAATGTAAACTCTACTTGTTATTTATGATTTGGAAACCCCTGTGATATCTGCTCTTACTGCTTCTTAACTCTATGACCTCAGGCAGGTTACTTACATTTTGAACCTTGCTGTCATCTGTGCACAACTTCTGAGTTGCCCCAGCCAGATGTGAAATACCCAGCCGCAGGCCTCATGCAAGGCCCATAAGTAAAAGCTGTGTTCTTCTCCTTTCATCCCACCCCACAGGAAGCTTCCTGAGGTTTTCTTATTTCATTCCAGTGTTTATGGCGTGTTCTGCTAGCAGCACAATACTTGACATTCTCCAGAAATACTAAGGTGACACACCCCAGTCCCTGCAACTGAAGTCAGTCCTCAGCTGCCCTTAGAAAACTGGCCTCTGAGCTAACTAAAGTGAAGTTCTGAGTGCTGCTCTTGGGCTGGAGGAGGCCGGCTGAAACTAGGCCTCCAAGTTTGACTCTTCTCACATCCCTTAGCAACACAGAGTTATTAGCAACACAGTGCCTTGAGGCTCACTGCTGTCTCCCACCCCATGGCAGAATGGAAGGAATTCCCTGGAGAGGTTTTGCCATTGTAGGAACAGTTTCAGCCAACAGGTACTGTGAAAAGGCCTAGAGTGGGAACATGGGTCTGCCATCATGCTCTGAAATAACAGGGATTTGGAGGAAGGGTCTCAGGCCTCTAGAAGGCAGTGTCCTACAAAGGAAGGCAGGCAGCCAGCACTGTGTGGCCATGGGGCCTCTGGCTTAAATGAAGGGAGAAGCCACAACTTGGAAAATGGGAAAGGCCTACCACTGATCTGGCAAGCTTCAAGCATGGTCTCAGTCCACACCGAGCTGGCGCTCATTTGTGATACAGACACAGTCAGGCCCTTCTCTGAAACTTCCTGTTCTGTCTCTCCTAGATAAAGCCCATGAATGTGGAATATCTCATGATGGATGCTTCCATCCTCCTGCCTCCAACGGGCACTCCACTGACTGGCATTGACTTTGTGAAGCGGCTGCCATGTGGTGATGTGGAGAAGACACGGCGGGTGAGTATGATCTAGCCTCTCCTGGCCATAGAGCAAGGGTCTCTAGGTCAGTTAAAGACTGCCTCCATTATGTGCCTAGTCACCTATAGAGAGTACCACCTCACACACACCTACTACCATACATGGCTTTCCAAAGCCTGTTGCCCTTGGAAATGGGAGATTGGGATTTTGTGGCAACTGGCACCTCCGTGGGCTGCTGTTGTCAGACCACCTGCACCAGGGCAGAGTAAAGCCAAAACCCTGAGTGGAAGCTAGGCCAAGCTTCTTTGAAGCATGGGGGAGCAGATCCAAGATCACCCAGTGCAGGGGAGGTAGGCATAAACCAAGACTCCAAGGTCTCAGAACTCCACGCAGTACACTAGCAAGGTGTCTGCTAGTGAGAGAGTGATGCTGGCCAGGAGGCAGGAGAGCATGTATGCAGAGCCACGTTCTCAGAAGCAGCAGAGGGCGATCCCCTTATCAGCACTTTTTTTTCTGAGGTGGCCACTCTAGGAAGCAGCCTCAGTCAGGCTCTTCACAGTATTTTATCTCCTGCGTAAGATCTCGGTTTCTTTCTTAGAAAGCAGCACTGCCTTTTCCTAGAAAATCATTCCCTGGAGACATGACTATGAATAGATAATTTAGAGGCATTCATGACAGCTCCCCAGCTGACTATCACATCTTCTTCCTCCGTCTGCTTGTGGCCAGAGCAGCAGAGGGGTTTCACTTCAGGATTTCAGGAAGCACATAAAGTGGTGTGTGCCTCAGACAAGAGGCCTCTGCAGCCTCCTCCACCACATGCTTAGGGTCAACAGAGGAAGTGGGGACCTTGTATCTTCAAGCAACACACATTCCCAGTCCCCTGAGAAAACCACAGGCTCCTGCAAATTGTCCTCTGACCTCCATATGTACACACAATACTAATACTTTGTGTGTGTGTGTGTGTGTGTGTGTGTGTGTAAGACCAAAATATCAAAAATGCCCCTGAGTCATGCCAACCATGTTGAAATAAAAGTCATCAGAGTTCTTGGGGTCTAGGAAGAATGAGTGAATCAGAACTTGGAATTTGGGCTATCCCCACTCATGTAGGCTAAGAAAGAATACAAGTTCAGGAGTCAGGTCCATAGGTTAAGCCCTATTTTGTGTGACCTTGGAAACATTATTTAACCTCCCTGAGCCTAAAGTTCCTCCTGTGTCCCCTCAGCTTTTGCCTGAAGTAGCTGACAGCGTGGCAGTTAATAAACCCTGAAAGAACATTGGTGGGACAACAGTGGAGTATGCTCGTGCCCAAGAGGAGCAAGATGCTTTACTCGTAGACTGCTAAACTTAGGGCAGAGGAAAAGAGCCAGCAGGGGGCTCTGGCAAATATTAAAATCTGAATTGAAGCACCAGCCATCTTTATACACTATCTGGGAAGCCAGTGTAAAACAGAGGTCCTTGTGCCAGGGTTTTGTTTTTGTACTAGGAATGGAACCAGGGCCATGGATATGCTCAGCAAGTGTTTCTGCCTTTCTAAATTTTGTGTTGCATTAAGTAGCTCAGGCTGGCTTCAAATTTACAGTCCTCCTCCCTCAGCCTCCCAGATGTCTGGGATTACAGATGTGTCCCCACACTCTGTTTCCATATTCCCTGTAAAGGATAGCAGTTTTTGTGTTTGTCACTATTGACCTTGAGGAAATGGGATACTTTACTCCATTCTTTGGCTGTGGGTTACACATTAAAGAAAACTCAGTCATATCTCAACATTGTAAAAAGAAGGAATTTTTTTCCATAATTTCAACACTTGGAGTTTTTTTTTTTTTTTTTTTTTTTTTTTTTTTTCCCCCCCTTTTTTTTTT